CTTCTACTCGTGGTAGAAGGAAAGAAAATTGTATAATTTATGGGCTGCTTTAGTATCCACCTGATGAGATCAGACATCATAGCCACACAATCCATATCAAGGCTGGGGATGGAAAGGCTGAAAGAGACTGTTTGTCTACTCTTAATCAATACACTGATGACTAAGGCTGGGCTCACATAGATGCAGTGCACTTTTATCGCTGGTTTCAGTGCGATTTCAAGGGGTAGTTGTTTAGTGATTCAGGTGCGGTTCTGATGTGATTTGGCAGCATTCTCAGTCAGTCTTTCTCTCTATGTCTCTCTGTTTCCTGATATGAACCAGGGATGGGACATAGGGAACAAAGCAAAGACTTAGACTGGAGTCGTGCTATCTTAGGACAGAAAACAATTAGCATTCAAGTCTATGTAGCTACAAATCATATCACACTGCACTAAACTTGAAGACCCTTTTTAAAATTGCATTGGAATCCCACTGCATGTATGTGAACAGACTCCATAGGGTCGTATGTTTTTTTACTTGTCATGCGATTCCATGTGTTCTGGAACACATCAAAAAATCGCATCAAAGTGAACCAAGGCTAAATTATTTATTAGGCCTCATTCACGTGAGCACTTAGACCTGTACATCTGTGCACAGAGTCATGTTTACGTGCATGGAGTGACAGGTGTTCCATGCACAACTGTACAGGATCAACCATCCTATGTTGAACTTCTGTTCACATGATACTTGGCTCAACTTCAACCTTGAATATTCTCATTTAACCCTTCCACTGGCAGAGATGCATGTGCTTTTGTTTTTTTGGTATGTTTAAAAAATCATTTTAGACCTGAAGTACCAGTACATTTTTATAAGTAGAGACCCTGAAGAATAAAATATGTTTTATGTAGTATGATATTTGTTCAACAGTTTATCAAGCATAAATGTTCAATAGAAAATACACTTTTTAATTTAAGGACACACAAATTCCATATACTATGTTTTTTCCTAAATTTTAAAACATGACATTGTGCCAAGTAAATATATACACAACATGTTAAGCTTTAAACTTGTGCATGCTCATAAAACAAACCACAGAACCTCCTACAGCACCTACAACAAAGAAAGTACATTAAAAGTCCCCTATGTGATATAATGTCTTTGTGACAGGTTCTCTTCAATGAGACATCAAGAGACTAATAGACTCCTGCTGTCTCATCAGCCCTGTATCAAGCTAATGGAGTGCAGATTGTCACTGTCACTTGTGAAAGTGACACCTAAAAACTATAGACATGTCACTTCTGGGTTCTTTGCAGCTAGGGAAGATCAGCAAATGGACATTTGCTGGTCTTCCTTCCCTCCACTCGGCAACACCCACCATGTGTGTCCCAGATCCGTATCATCTACTCTCGCAGCCAGGAGTGTGGCAGTAAAAGGTCACAGACTGCAGGCTGTCCGCACACCCAAAGATTACTTACTGTTATCACTGTTGGAAGCGCTTTGTATTGTTAATTTGTATTAAACAAATACCTCCTCACCTTTCGGCTAAGTTCACACTAGCCTTGTTAGCAGGCTTTATACAGGCATTTGCGAACCATTTTTAACACTCTTCAAACACCTATGAAAATTCTACACATGACAGCACACAGTGCTGTTCACACTGAAGCGGTAGCGTCGCTGCAAAATTGAGTCAGGAGGAGTTGAAGCCTCCCATTCAAGTCTATAGTGACGCTTCTCAAACACCTGGCAGGCATTTGCGAGACAGTTGTGCGGCATTTGCGGAGCATTAAACTTCATTTTAGGCATTTGTGGTGCGGTTTTAACACTTGGCAACGCCTATCAAACACCTTTAAAACGTGCATAGGGTGTTTGGGGAGCGTTTGAGGAGCATTAAAAATGCTTCCCAAACGCCTGTCTAACTCCTATAGGGAGTTAGAAATTAGTCAAGTGTGAACAAGCTCTTACAAGCGTTAAAGGATTGTTCAAAATCTTGATTCATTTCTTTTCAGTGGAAATGTTCATCAACAGCTAAATGAACTGGGGACACAATTTCCATTTAAGTGGTTCAATCACATACAGTGGTCCTTAAAGGCAGAAGCATCTACAGTCATATTATTATTATTACACAGGATTTATATAGCACCAACAGTTTGCTCAGCGCTTTACAATATAATGGGAGACAATTCAGCAACATATACAGTTCAATACAAGAGGGTTAGGAGGGCCCTGCTCCTTGGAGCTTACAATCTAGGACCATACATGTAAAAGGCATGTAAACATTCAATGAAACATCTAAGCAGTATGGGAAGTTGACATGTACATAGACTATAATCTGTCCAAAACAACAGCATTTTTTAGCCTTGATAGAAATGCAACAGCATGTTTGATTAAGAAACGGGCATCCTAATTGATGGGAATCTGTTGAATCTGCTAACAAATTCCCTTCAAGTCATGGGTATTAAGCGGTTAAAACACAGTAACATCAATTGGTCGGGGCGGGATAACACAACATGTGCAAGAGTTTAGTCATCCTAGCATGCAGACACCACACCAGAAATGTAAACTTAGCTGCACGGAACTGAGCTACAGAACACTGTGAGCAGGCAGGTAAAATTTTTTTAATTGTAGAAGAGACATTGCATGTCTCCTCTGCAATAAATAGCCTGCCAGTAAGCTTTTCATATTAGATTTTAGTTAAGCTTAAGAAAATTTGAAGATATTTCTGTCATGTCATTTTTCTCTAATACCTTGTCTAATACCTCTCTAATACAATACATTTTTGTCTGTACATTGGCACTGAAAGTGTACGCTATCAGTACTGCTGTAATCAATAAGTAAATACACAAGCTGACACATTTATCTTTCTTGGAGAAAATAGTGCTCTAGGCAACCTCCAGTGCTTGTCACATGACCCAAATTCTAGGTATTTTACCATGTGATCTTTATAAAAGTGAATTGCTTGGTCCTCGCCTTTTACATAGTTCATGAGAAAATAAAAATAAGCTTTTGTCATGTGACAAGCACATTAAGCAGCCCCAAGCTAGTCATAGATGGATCGAATCTCGGCTAGTTTATCAGAGACCAACCGAGATTTCATCCATGTGTGGGCAAGCTTTACTGAAGTGGATCCATTGTTGCCGATTTTGCCGATCACTGTCAGGTTGCAGAGTGGCGAGGCAGCGTGTCGTGACTCCGGAATTTTACAGAAGAGTTTTTCTGGATTGGGGCAATGAAAGTAGGTGTAATGTATATGACTACATTTTCCTCAATCCATCTAAAGACCTTTTTAAAAATGTTTTTTTGATTAACATTTTAGTATTGTTTCACTTTAAGGGGGATTCAAAATACATATCTTAGAAGCAAAGCAAAAGATGCAATATTGAAATGATTTTAATAATCATGATTATTATTATTATACAGGATTTATATAGTGCCAACAGTTTGCACAGAGCTTTACAATGTGAGGGCAGACAGTAGAATTACAATACAATTTAGAGAGCCCTGCCCGTTAGAGCTTACAATCTAAAAGGGAGGGTCAATTGATACAAAAGTTAACTGTGGGGGATGAGCCGATGGAGAAAATAAGGTACAGATATTAGGTTGGGGCAGGAAAGGCTTGTCTGAAGAAATGGATTTTCAAGGATCATATAAATGTAGACAGCGTAGTAGACAATTGCACAGATTGGGGTAGGGAATTCCATAGGATGGGAGAGACTTAGGAGAAGTCCTGGAGGCGAACATAGGAATGTGACAAGGGAGCTAGAGAGCAGGAGATCTTGAGAGGAATGAAGAGAACAATGTGGTTGGTATTTTGAGACTAGGGTAGTGATATAGTTGGGGGCTTTGTAGGTTGTTAGCATTTTGAATTGAATTGAATTGAATTGGTTGGCAGAGTGGAAGCCAGTGGAGTGATTGGCAGAGAAGAGTAGCAGACGTTGAACAGTTGGTAAGGTGAATGAGTCTGGCAGCAGCATTCATAATGGACTGAAAAAGGGATAGCCTATGTAAAGGTAATCCAATGAGAAGGAAGTTGCGGTAGTCAAGGCAAGAGAAGACCAGGGAGTGGACTAGGAGCTTTGTGGTGTCATTGGTTAGGAAGGGGCGTATTCTGGAGATGTTGCGTAGGTTGAGGTGGCAAGCTTTGGACAGTGATTGAATGTGGGGCCAAAAGGATAGTCGAGGATGACACCTAGCACCTTAGGATGTGGGGATGGGTTGATAGTTGTGCCTTCAGTCTTGACAGAGATGTCAGGGGAAGGGACACGTGGGGAGGAAATATTATGAGGTCAGTTTGGGGTTTTGAGTTTGAGGAAGTGGTGTGACATCCAGACTGATATGTCCGTTAGTAGATTAGTGATGCGTGTGGAGACTGATGGACTGAGCTGTGGGGTAGAGGTAGATTTGGTTGTCATCAATCTAGAAATGGTTTTGGAAGCCAAGGGAGGCTATCAATTGACCCAGGGAGGAGGTGTAGATGGAGAATAGGAGAGGTCCAAGAACAAAACCTTGAGGGACCCAGACAGAGAATGGAAGAGGAGAGGAGGAAGTGAGATTGTAATTGACGCTGAAGGTGCGATGAGATAGGAAGAGAACCAGTGAAGAGGACAGTCACAGAGACCAATGGAGTGGAGTTTCTTAAGGAGGAGGGGGTGGTCCACTGTGTCAAAGGCAGCAGCGAGATCCAGGAGTTGGAGTGCAAATAGTTTCCATTGTTTTTAACTGTTAGTAGATCATTTGTGAATTTTAGGAGAGCAGTATCTGTGGAGTTTTGAGAACGAAATGCAGACTGAAGAGGATCAAGAAGGTTATTTTCAGTAAGGTTGTGTGTAAAAAAAATAGCAGCTGTGGAAGTATTACTTGTAATGTAGTTTATACACTGGTTGCTGACAGTAGAAGAGCTTTGAAAAGCAAAAAGTATGTCTCATTGAAATGGAAATGTACAGCTGCAATCAGAGCATATTTTATACACTTACTCCCTGTCAATCTAATCTTTTTCTGCCTGGCTGTTTTTTTCTGCATGTTAGATCTCTCTGCTGAAGCAGAACCTAGAAATGCAGCTGTGCCAGTCCCAGAATGCTTTGCAGCAGCTGCAGTCACAGTTTAGTCAAGAGCGACAACGCCTCACTCGAGAGCTTCAAGAATTGGAGGAGGAACACCAGCAAAGGCAGAAGTCACTGCAAGAAGCTCATATGTTAGCATTCCAAAGTATGGAAGAAGCAAAGGACCAAGAGCAAAAAGCAAGTTATGATTATTATTATACAGAATGTATATAGTGGCAACAGTTTGTGCAGCACTTTAAAATATAAAGGGAGACAATACAGCAACAATATAATTTAATGCAAGAGGGTTAGGAGGGCCCTGCTCCTGGGGGCTTACAAATAAAGTTAACCTTGGTTTTTCCGTCTCCTGCTAACATGAGGCTGAATTTGTATTTTTTTTATATTTTATGTATTCCAGTAAGGTAGTTTTTTTTTACTGTTCGAAACACAATTTAAATGGAACCGGAAACTATAAGCTATGGCGTTGATTTACTAAAGCTGGAGAGTGCCAGATTTGGTGCAGTTCTGCAGCACACAAACCAGTCAGCTTCCTTTTTTGTCAAAGCTCAATTAAACAAGCTGAAGATAGAAGCTGATTAGCTACCATGCACAGCTACACCAGATTGCACTCTCCAGTATTAGTAAATTAACACCTATGTGTCACTATCAATCCTATAATCTGTTAAGTTTGCCAGAAATATGGTGCCCTTGTCACTTTTTAAATTCAAATATCCCTGCAAATACCTTACCTTAAAAATACCTATCATCTGACTTACAAGACCTCTTAGAATGGTTCTAAACTCAAAATATTTGTTTACTTTAACACATCATCTGCATTAAGGCATTGAAAACACCCCACTACCTATGGAACCCCCCCCCCCCTTGCCCCCACCTGTCCCGGCTGCAACACTGCTCTCTTCTTTTTGGTCTCACAGGCGACACTGAAAGCAGCGGAAGCCATGTGGGCTTTTTATACCTGAGCTTGGGATCTAGGGTCCTCCTCTGGCACAGAGGAACACATATTTAGAAAATCATAGGTACTTTGCTAAAGTATAAGTTTATATTGTATGCATTGGTAGGCATGCAAGGTTCATTTAAAGTGCATCACTTTTGCTTCCACTAAACACCTCCCCTACACCATTTGGTTGATGGGAGGGAACAGAAGAAGCCCTATTTGATCAAAGAGTCATGTCTCAGCTTACACCAGTCTGAGAGCCCTCTCTTTCCTCTCATGTGACAGTGCTGAGTCCCTGAGAAGCTAATCACCAAGCTCCAGCAACAGCATTGTCACATGGGATGAAGAGGAGTGAGTCAAATGCTTCCCCATGCTCAGATGAAATGGATATTTTTCTTTGCCCCCAGTAGTTAAACATAATGGCGGGGGGAGGGAGGGGAGCACATGCTCTTTTTGAGGGGACACGTGAACAGACCCCTGGTTTTCTTTAAGGAGAAAAAAAGAAAAGAAAAACAAATCATGAGACAGGATGCACAGCATTACAAGAAGATTGGTATTCTAGCAGTAAAGTGCTTTGTTCTGTTAAGATAATTTGCCCAATTTTCTTGTCTTGTACATGCAATTTATCTATCACCAAAGAATCAATTGTACATACTGGTTATTTTCTTGTGTTACATATATATATTTTTTTATTTATTTTTTTTTTTTTTCCTGCTACACAGGATCTGGAAGATCGCTTGCATCAAAAATATTCAGAAGAGCTGCAGTCTGTAAAAGATGCCCACAAGCAGGTCATGGACATGCTGCGAGTAGAGATGGAACAGGAGTTGCAGACCTTGCGCTTTGAATTGGAAGATGAAGGCAAAGCCATGCTAGGTATGTTTATCCTTTAAATTATAACAGAAGGCATTTAGGAGTTTTGCTTGCACTATAATCCGCTTATGTAAAAATGTTAGGAATGATTCTGCTTAAAAGAAAAAAATAGATATGTACCGTTCTACAATAAATCTTTAATGGAGTGCTTATATGAGTCACCTTAAAGTGGTGTTAAACACAAGAACAAAAATGTAATAAATTGCAGCGTACCTTTTCTGCATATCTGGTGGTCATACCCCAAAATTCAGAGGTTTTGTGAATCTATATTTCCTCTTATTCAGAAGACCACACTCCGAAAAATTAGGCTTCCGTCCCTCCATTGTCTCTTCCATGATACTCCCTCTTCCTTTAAAGACCATAAAAACAGTGTGACACCACATTTACTTAATGCTGCTGTCTGATTCCACGCTTTCGGAAACAAGTGTCCTACCCGACCCTTGCTAACTGGAGGAAGGAGGTGGATCAGATTATGGAGGCTGAACGCTGGGTGCATGCAGCACATAATACCCAGGAGAAGTTTCATGATGTTTGGGCTTAGTGGATTTATTACTCCCAGATGAGTAGGCTCTTAGGGACAGGTACGGTTCTTTGATTTTGCATATGCCCTGCCACAGTATTCCAGTTCGCTTACAGATATGCCCAGGTTAATGCCTTCAGGATTCTCATGAGCTTGGTACTGAGGTTTAGGTTGATGCATACTTGTCCACCTGATTACTGTCTACCCTTTTGTTCTCTTATTGTGTTTTGTTTTTTGTTATTTGTGGGTCTGTATGCCTCTATTGTATTGCCACAATGTTGGCCTTCTACTCTATTATTTTGTTGTACTTGTGGGGGACCTCTTAGTTATTCTAGTGAGACACCACTGTGGTATATGGCTTAGTGCATTCCTGAAATAGTGCCTTTTGGAATCTTTGTTCTTTTATGTCATGCTTTGGAGCTTGTAAGATGGCATACTGAGGTTATCAGACTACTGTATGTTCCTTTGAAATTTTTCAATAAAAAGAGATTATATAAAAATAAATGCAACTTACCAACTCTTAGATGTGGCAACTGCATTTGTTTATGTTTTATAGACTTTTTTCCTTTGTTTTCACCTGGTGATTCAGCCAGTAAGTCTGTTATTTTTCAGCTTCCTTTACCAGGCCAAACTGTCAAGCAAAATTGGCAGTTAAGAGGGTTGAGACAAACCAATTAATACTGACAGGGGTGCTTACAATGATCAGCTCTTATTCATTTATGTGAATACTGTACCCCAAAAGCAAAAAAAACGTTTATGCTCTTAACAAGCATTGGCTGGAGCTTTGGTTTTAATGCATCAATCAAGTCCATCTAAATCTGCTAGTGCATCTAACACTTCCCTCTTACCAGATTGACAGTGCTGCTGTCCAAAGATGTCTCTGTTGCTCCTCCTTCCTTAAAGCAGAAATAAACCCTCCTATCTTTTTTAGCCAAGGAAGCTACCATCTTACCCTCTGTTTGATCTGCAGCTGTCATGGTGCTGCACATGTGATCAGTTATGAACCAGGCATTTGATGATTTGACAGTTTAGTTGAAAGCACAAGCAAATGTGACAGTTAGCATTCCTGGCATGCCGGGAATAAAACAGTTTTTTTTTTTTTAAACCGTTAAATTGATGGGTTTAGTTCCGCTTTAAGACAGGTAGTGTGTTACTGGCCCCGATCACCATGTTAAAATAAGGAAAAAAAATGCCTAACAAATTAAAACAAATGCAGCCACCATATTTACCAATTGGTTACTGCGATATATTAAATTTTTTTGGGAGGGGGTTTAGATAAGCTACTAAGTCCTGTCTATGAGCCACTTTGGTCAGCATCTAGCTCCCCTTAAATGCTGGTCATTTCCAAATGCAGAAACCCAAAGCTTTCATCCAGCTTTCACTGTTTTCTCATAGGACTACTTAAAGGTGAAATTTGATTGATGACTGTGGATTGCTGTACTTTGCACATAAAAGCATAAAGGTAAAGGTAATGCACTGAACACAAAAGGAAATAAAAATTGTTTAGCAGTGTTTATACTTAAAAAGCTAAATCGGTTTTCAGCTACGAAGACACCATTGGTCTCCACCAGGAACGGGTCTCTGCATTACAGCTGCAAACTCTAGACCAGGGGTGTCAAGCTAGTGGCCCTCCAGCTGTTGCGAAACTACAAGTCCCATCATGCCTCTGCCTTTGGGAGTCATGCTTGTAACTGTCAATCTTGCAATGCCTCATGGGACTCATAGTTTGGAAACAGCTGGAGGGCCGCCAGTTTGACACCTGTGCTCTAGACCTACTGCAGGCCACAGAGGCAGTGGGGTTCCCATGAGAACTGTCTGTGACCAAAAGACAGAAGCTGTCACGGATCCACGATCGCTGCCACCAACATGCGACAATCGCACGACCGTGACTAACAGTAATACGTCACGCCCACGGCGTCAGACCCCAGACCTTCTCACCAAACTCGTGACCGAAGGACCGGCCGATCTAAAACCGCGGTGTGACGCGCGTAACAAGGCCACACTCAGCTGCACCCAGCACAGCGATTGCCCAGCTAATGGACTACAATCGGTGCCTGCAGCCTAAATGCGCTTGTTACTGGGTCGGGTTAATTACGCAACTAACCCTCTACTGCCACCACCACTTTTGTCGGAGACTGGGAAACTCCCCTTATCAAATATACACTATAATGATTGAAATATTGCTCTATATAGCACGGCCCGCGGACCTGTTATACAGAGATATACCAAACAGTAGCATCTCTTCAAAGGCAGGGATTCGTGAATTGCAAGTAAGCGCTTAGAAATAGTTTAACACTTTCAGAAAGAAAGATTTATTAACTAAAAGAGTCAAAACAGGTGCAATACAATATTTACAAAGAGATGTCACAAAAAATATATATATATATATATATGTATATAATATGTATAAAGACACAGCAAAGAGATAATTAGGAAGAAGATTACAGGTTAAGTTACTTGCCCATATGCCTGGGTTTGCAGATCCAAGTTGTAGAGCAGGGTGATTTCTTGATCTCCTTTTGTTACGATGTTGCTGGGAGATCTCTGTGTGTCTGCTCTAACTCACTTGTCTCTTCTTAAAAGTCCCTCTCAAAGGGGGGGCTCTGACTACACATTTGGGAGTGGTCAGTAGGAAACTCTGAATTAACTACAGCTTCATAATCCATGACATGAAACATACAGTTGACCTGAGGAATGTGCAATTACTCTGGTCAGTTTGATAATGTGTGGGCTTACGCCGTTTTGGGTCAATGCTTCCCAGCCCTCTGAGAAATGCTGCCTTATCAGACGTAGGTGAGAAAGGTGACAGCTTTCTCAGACCACTGGCACCACCAGGGATGTCTTACCCCGGTTGACCTACAGCATCTGTCAGGAGATAACGTTTGCCTCTCAGGACTGGAAAGGGGGGATGTGAGGAGTGATCGAGGAATACCTCAAATAACAGAAAAGAACAAGAAAAAGAAGAACTCCGCTTCCAGCTCTGATGAGCTAGTTTGTTACAGAAGCTTCTTCCAATTGTTAACTGTAAGTGGACATTTTTTTATAAAATGTTGCCATATGATAATGCACTAGTGTGCTGCACTATACCCCCTTTATTCCCTCTAGGAGCTGCTGGGTCCCAGCACACCGCCAGCTACACAGAGAGCCTTGCAACTGCTGAATACTCTGCTAGATATTCTTTCTTCCACTACCATTGGATCTGCTGAAGGAGAACTAAGTATACAGACTGCTAAATCATTTTCTTTTGTGGTCAGTGCACTACCTTTACCTATATGCTTTATTTGCTGTGTATTTTGTTCTGTATCATTATTGTGCAGTTGCAAGACCCAAGTTATATTTATGTCACCCATAGGTTAATTCTTTACTTCTGATATTTTGCATTATTTTCTTAGGAAGATTGTGCATGGGTTGAGTTTCAGGTGTCTTTTTGGTTTGGATTTTTTGGTACTTGTACTTTATACAAAGTCAGTGCAGTCTGTGCAGCTGTAATGAATAAAACTGCATTGTGAATATCCACAGTGTCTAGTTGAGCTTTTCTTTACCACTTAAACCATGCTGAGTTTTAAAATGGAACTGTAGAAATTGTTCTTAGCCCCAATGTTTTTGAAATTGGTACTAGCTGCATGTTAAGCTGGCTATATGCTGATCGAATCTTAAGCTGGTTCAGCAGGGACCAGCTGAATTCTGGTCAGGGTTCGGTTATCCCCACTACACAGAAGTTAATAATTTGATCAGCTTCTGTTGAAGGAACATGCTGGAAGCCTTTTGTCGATCAGCTGCTGCAGTCAATTAGTTCCAGCCACTGATCAGTGTATTGTGGTCCTACTGTTGAATACAATGGCCCATCAGAGGGATTCTTCTATCCACTTCATTTGGGTGGATAGATGAATCTGTTAGTTTTTTCTTGGCTAACCATGTAAAGCCGACTTTAGTCATTGGCAGACAGGCTCCAGTTCTACGCAGAGTTCTGATGCAGCAACAGAGCACTCTATAAGATCGCTCTGCAGTACAATGTAAACACTGTGCATCCACATGCAGAAATCCTGGTGGTGTTATCTCTAAAGATATTTTAAGCTCCGACAGCCATCTTCTCATCCAGATCTGTCCAGCCCTCTGCAGCAGCATATCACTGCAATGGTGATCTACTGATAGTAGAATCTCTGGAAATTGTTTTTTTCTTCTGGTGGTGTTAAACACGAAATTGTATCTGAACAAGATGATTAGTTTTCTGTGAAACTGACGTGCTAATGAAATACTGTGCACTCATCAGAAGCATTTCTGATCATTCAACTTACTTTAATACAAGAACACAACTCTTAACAGTCTCAAGACATCTGTGCTTTCTTCTGATTTTTAAATAAATGAATGCATGCAATTATTGTATAAAATGCTAATACAGCCACCCACACAGCGAAACCGCAAATGCTGATCGTGCCACATAGATGTATATTTGAACATATATAATATGCAGCAGGGGAGATTT